CCTCGCAACAAATCAGCAGAGGACTGTCCCCAACTCTGTCTTATATTCCCTCACTCCTGAGACTCTTCCTTGGCTGACAAGAGTTTGTTAATAATGCCCATCAATGCTGTTTGCTAGCTGAACCAGAGGGATTGTTACAGTGCAACAGAAGATGCTGAATAACTCCAGAGTGCTCCCAGTCCCCACTGGTCTGGGGTGAAAGAGTCCTGGCTTTGCAAATCAAACCCAGATATTGCATGTGATCCTGATCCAGTACCCTTTGAAGCCAATGGGAGTCTTTACTTATGTTTTCCGCTCAATCTTTCTGTACTGAATTCTTTTGTACTGGTGTAGGTACACAAGCACAACTCCCCACTGTAAACATGGCCTAACATTCAGCCCTACACAGAATTTTTTTCTGTTAGTTTCATCCAGTGTAGCTATCAGTTACCAGGGTAAGTTGCACTGATGCAAGCCCTGATTTGCATCAGTGCACAGTTGGCACCAGCGTTAACTGCATTGCCAGAGCTTCACCAATGTACGCAAACCCATTTGAGGTTACACTGGTGTAAATTTCCCTACTTTAGAGAAACCCTCAGTGACAGTTGTTATGGGAAGCAGAGATGAATGGATGCAAGCAATATGGTAATCTTCAAAAAAACTTTTAAAAGTCTTTCTTGAGGAAACAAGACTTCATTGTGTGTGTTGATAAATTGTATAATCAATTGCTTGACCATGCTTTGGTTCATTATTTTGTTATGAAATATACTCAAGGCCAAATAACCAATGTCAGTCAGGTTTATTAATATGGTACAAGAAAAAGGTTCTATGTGATACCAGTTTCTGAAGAGCAGTCCCATGCAGATATGTTATATTCACCTTATGAAGAAAGTGTGTGTGACGGGTTGGATCACAGAAACCCCCTTGGGAGCTGCCACCAGATGTGCAAAGACTACCCCTGCTTCTGTTTTCCCTGCCAGCTCAGGACTCCGGCACCCTGTCTTGCTGAGCCAGACACTTCCGTCTGGCTCCAGACACAGATCCAGGGTCTGAATCTCCTGTCCCAAAGCTGCAAGTTACCTGAAAACAGCTTACAGAAGTGCGCTTGTCTTAGCACTCAGATGCTCAACTCCCAATGGGGTCTAAACCCAAATAAATCCGTTTTACCCTGCATAAAGCTTATGCAGGGCAAACTCATAAATTGTTCGCCCTCTATAACACTGATAGAGAGATATGCACAGCTGTTTGCTCCCTCAGGTATTAATACATACTCCGAGTAAATTAC